CTTGTAAACGTAGGTCTCAACAAAATTTTATTCTCTTGAGAATAAAGTACCGAACAAAAGACTTATAAAATTTCTTGTTTGTGTCAGAAGCACTTATTTTCGTTAATGTTTAGATTTTTTTTTTTTTTTTTACTACAAGAATTTTAAAGTGCATAAACTTTCGCTTAATAATTATTTTTGATTTTGCGGCTGCGGTGGCGTGATCTAGTTTACCCAATTGAATATGGTATTTCATGCGACCAAAGTGGTAAGGATTTACTCAGAGTCAATCTTAACATCCGCACAATACAGCACCGGATATTTTAATGTAACACAAATGTTGGTTTTTATAATTTTTATAAAAAAAAAAAAATAAAAAAATATGATTACCCGTTTATGACGGTATTAACCGGTCATATTCTTGTGATCTTCATATCATGTCAGAAGTTAAAAACAATTAAGTTTAAACTTTTTTAAATTCTGATTAAATTAAATTTTAATTTAATTTTAATTTTGGGCAGAATTTAAAAAAGTTTGGGCCAAAAAAGTGAACAAAATGTCTGAAAATTTACAACTCGTACCTCTATTAGTATTAGTAAATTTATGTTAATTTCCCAGAATTACTCAATAGAGTCGAAAGAAACAAAAAAAAAAAATTTGTGATTCCATGTTATTAAAAAAAAAAATCTTCCGACCAGAATTTTGGAACAACAGGTTATGCAAATACTGAAAAAAAAAAATCAATATTGTTTGGCCTAAACATAAAAAAAAAACGGGATATTAATTAAGTAGTATATTTTTATTAACTGTTGTTGTAGAGTATACAGTATTTTCACTCCTAATAGACCTACCTCTTACAGCGCGATGCAGCTTGACTTTCGTGACGAGACGTTCGTTATTTCGTCAAAAAAGTAATGAGTTGCTCATACAATACACGTAGGTTTTACACTACTATACACATAAATAATCGTGTAACGTAGATCTTCATAATATATTTTATTCTTACGTTTGTGGCCGTCAGATCTTCTTGCGATGTGCAAAAATATTTTAGACAATCCATTGACAGAAGAAATTCTAGAAATAGGTTTACAGTTTTTCAAGATAGGGAACCACCGTCAAGAATGAACCAACAAGCCTTTGCGAGGCTATTAACATTTGAGAAAGGTTGTCAATTTTGTAAAACTAGAGAAACCGTTGACAATATATTGGATTCCTGGTGTTCGCTCTTGCGAGAACTCAAGAGTTTTTAGGTAAATTAATTTACTATTTTACATATATGTAGATTTTATAACCACTTGGACTTATTTTACCAGTAACACCGAGCATATATTTTATAGATTATTACTGGGCCGAACATGTTAAGAATACTATCGCGTTTTAATGGATGCTGGCGATGCGAGTTAAATAACTTAAGAAAAGACATCGGGAAGAAATATGAAGAAGCCCAAAATTATAAAAAATGGATGTTTGATTTATGTCAAAACTACCGTAAAGAACTTTTTTCAAGATTCCACGTTGAAATTAACGAGAAGATTATGAATACAAAAGATTTGAGAATGAAGTTAATCTTACAGGATAGATATGAACAATATAAATCAAGAATTTTACAAATCGCCCAAAGAATTAATAGGAATCTCGTTCCATCAAAGAACAAATCTGCGGATGACATAACTCAAAAAGAAAAAACAATTGTTCAACGTCTAAAGCTATTTACATATGGTTCAAAAAAAAAAACACCGCATCAAGTTCTAAGCATTCGGGACAGACCAAGAAAACAAATGGGATAAATTTATAAATAACCAGTTTTTACTGACTCTAATAAAAGTAGCTGAACAACTGGACGCAGCAGGGACAGTAACTCTAAATTTTCTTGAACCGGATGGACTGGTACCCTTCAAAACCGACAAGTGTGGGTTCAAATAGATGGGTTCCAATAAAATTTGTGGAATGTTAAATACTGATAATTGGGATCAAATTTATACCCTTGGTTGGGAATACAGTGATTCTCAATTTAAAATATCAGATTTTAATTTTGTTTGCTAATAATTGGAAAGCTGTAAGAAATAGTGAGAAAATGATTTGTTAAAAATTAAACTATACATAGAAATATATAGAAATTCTAAATCTATGAAAATTATACAAATTGCTCATTATTATTTGCAGTTCAGTGTAAAATCATAACTATTGAATTTGTAATATAACCATATTTCTAATTTTATTTTATTCATATATATATATTTAATAAAGCCTAAGAGCTCTATAGTCTTTACAAACTCAATTGTAGAGCACTTATAATTCGAATACTATGATTATACATTAAACTAGACAAGATATTTATTTTTTTTATTAAAAAAAAAAAAGCAAATTGCGTACTAACAATTAAAATTAAATTCGATTTAATAAGATATAAATTGATTTATCAAATAGAATTATGATATAATCGATCAAAGTATTGTGAACAATCGGCGTATTCGGAAACACAAAAAAAATAACATAAATCGGGTATACCAGATTAGTATGCTATTAGCTGAGTGCTAAAAGTGAAAATCTGAAAGTGTTGATTTTTTCCAAAATTAATTTTACAGAAACGGGCTTACAGACATATCGATATAACAGAATTTATTATAATTCATCAGGGCCGTTTCTGAAATGAAACTTCTGAAAATCTTAGCTATATTAATTTAATAATAATCTAAATATTTAGACAACACAAGGTACTTGAATATAGATTAGGAAAGTTTATAAAAGTACGTGTATAGTTAACAAAACTCCCAATTCCATGATGTTTCTTTAACATCTCTCACTTTTCTGATTTTTGATAATAAAATAAATGCCTTGATTACATTCACTAAAATTAAGAAATTTAGATTACTATCACCAATACTATGAAAATTTTTAATATGTGGTTTAATTTTTTTGAAACTATACAACGTGGAGTTCTTGTTTCAATAACGCTCCAGCCGTTTCTAGAGATCTGGTGGATTTAGAAAACTTGTATCATATGTCCCGAATGCTTAAAACTTGATGCGTTAATTTCTTTAGACGCTGAATAATTGTTTTTGTTTATGAGTTATGTCATCTGCAGATATGTTCGTTGATGGAACGAGATCCCTATTAATTCTTTGGGTGATTTGTAAAATTCTTGACTTATATTGTTTATATGGCAGACCTGAAAAAGGATTAATTTCGTATTCCAATATTTTGTATTCATAATCTTTTTCCATTTCGCCTTCATTAATTTCAGCATGGAATCTTGAAAAAGTATTTTAGATATAAATCAAACATCCAGTTTATATAATTTTGGGCTTCTTCATGTTTCCTTCGGATGTCTTTTCTTAAGTTATTTAACTCGCATCGCTTATTATTATCAGCATCCATTAAAAACGCGATAGTATTCTTAACATGTTCGACCCAATAATATTCTGTTAAAATTGTTACAGGTAAAATAAGTCCAAGAACTTCATTATTGAGCTTAAAAGCATATTCGAGTGCATCAGAACTATTAAATATTATTAATAAAATTTTATTCGGATTCAAATTATTATCAAAATATATAAATATATATATATGTAAAATAGTAAATTAATTTACTTAATCATTATACAGTCCTCGCAAGAGCGAACACCGGGAATCCATTAGACCGTCAACGGTCTCTCTTTAGTTTTACAAAACTGGCAGCCTTTTTCAAATGTTAATAGCCTTGTAAAGGTTTTTTGATTCATCGAAAAATTGTAAATTTATTTCTAGAATTTCTCCAAATTTCTTCTGCTAATGGATTTATATTTTCGTCTAGAATACTTTTGAAAGTTTTGCACATGCATACCAGCACAAGTAGATCTAACAGCCACAAATTATAACAGACAAATATGAAAGTTTCTACGTCTAGTTCTGCATTTTTTTTTTTTTTAAATAATATCTATTTATCATTTTATACGTACTAGGGTGAAAAATTAAGAACGGATATATATGTTGTACCCAGATGCAATTTGCCCAATTGTTAATCAGATAATAGTTTGATTTCTAGGGATGTTAAGTGGTCCATGGGGAACTAGTTTGGGCCAGGTCCGAACCCGGACTTTCTAGAGACTAGTAGGACTAGCAGAAAACTAGCCCGGCTACTGCATGATATCCTGCATGATATGAATGGAGTGTCATTTTTGACGCTCTAAATAAATTTAATAAAATGTGAATCAATAATGATACTCTGTACTTTAAATAAAATTCACTGATTGGATGTCAAAATCACATGATGTGATTGTAATAACTTGCCCATCAATGATATCATCAATTGCTTTTCAGTTAATAATGGCTTTGTGCAATATTAGTAAGAGCCGATGGCTTTTATTACTTTCTTTCGCTTTTGATCATTTTGATCAATAATTGTGGAATAAACAATATTAGTAAGTACTGATGGCTTTGATTGATTTTCTATTTTTCGATTAATAATCAGTATAATTAATTTCTGTCTTGATGATTGTTCATCTTTTGACAGTATAGAAGTTGAAGCGAACATGAAACATTTATTTATTACAAATATGCAGATGCTGAGTAGGGTGAAAAAAAGACTTCTGGAACACTTTTTTGGTACCCTGGGTACTAAAGTATTTATTTTGCTTTTTAGATCACTCAAGAAGCCTATATTATATATCAACTCTTTAGTACCTATATAAAAACCTGGGTACCAAAAATTATATAGCTAGAACTTACTATTTTTATATTTTATAAT